ACCACATTTTCTTTATCCAGTCTCCAGTTGATGGGCATTTGGGCTGTTTCCAAGTTTTAGCTATTACAAACTGTGCCACTATGAACATGGGTGCACATATATCACTGTGGTATGATTCTTTTAATTCTTTGGGGAAGGTACCCAGCAGGGGAATAGCTAGGTCAAATGGGACTTGCAGTCCTAGTTCTTTGAGGTATCTCCATACTGATTTCCACAGTGGTTGCACCAGTTAAAGAATAATTTTAAATAATCAGTTTTCATATATTGTTTCAATTAAAATAAAATTTCTCACAAAAGTACTACCTTTTGCCTGAGTACCTGACTGTTTAGGTTTTGTTATCTGTCATCACCTTGATATTTCAAAGGTTTCCAAAGAAAGTTTCAGGACACACTTGAGAAATCATTAGAATGGAAAGGCAGATTAGGGAAGGAGACATTTCCAGACCCTGTTCTTAAGGGATTGGAATAGCTGGAAACTTTCAGCAGGATCAGTGATTGGAGGCCCCTTTTTGAATCTATATTACTACTACTAGTAGTATACACTACTAATATACTAATATATTATAACTACTAATATAGTAATATGGCAATAACATATTATATTGCATATATTATATATTTCATATATGTTATATATTTATATCTTATATATTTATATGTAATATATTAATATATTGTATATTAACACACACTAATATATTATACATTAAAGTATATATTATATTATTAATATAATAGTATTGTATTATATATTATATGATTAATTATATGACTATATTTTTATTATTGATTTTAATTATGTGTGGTTTTATATAATTATGTATTATAATATTATATGTTTATATTATATATTTATATTATATATTATATTTATATTAATATGATTATACCATAATATATTGTAGTGCTAATATAGTAATAATATAATATATTATAACTACTAATATAGTAATATAGGCTACTAGTCTTTTTATATCTTTTATATCTCTTTGGTTATACTTTTCTGCTGGGTGCTCAAGACCAAGTTAAATTGAGACTCATGTTAATCAAAATTAACCTCTTGCTATCAAGGTCAGTTAAGGCTCAAATGTAAATTGAGGGTGCATGCAAATTGATGTCCTGCTCCACTTCCTTACAACACTACAGTGATCTCCTGGAATTAGGTCTTGTGTTTGGCTGAAATTGCAGCTTCAGATCTAGATTTGTTTCTTGAGCTACTGTTACACTGTCCATATACACCTCCTGATTCTCTGAGCTTGGGCAGGTTGTTTTTTATTTTGTATGTCTTCACCTTCCTATCTGTAAACAGGGCTAGAGAAGTATTCACATTGTTTCATGAGGATTGGGATGTTAGAGAGACCCATGAGGTTCAACTAATATTTGCACAATGAAAGATGACAGGCAGCAAAACCTCAGATCTGGATGGAGCAAAAGCAGGGATTTTGCAATGCTAAGTTTAAGACCTTTAGACTCCCTGCCCATGGAGAGGGATGAGTCCTTACTTTGCATTTCATGGCCCAAATTTTATCTCCTAAAGTTTGTCCACATCTTACCTTCTCCTTCCTGTTCTCCTTTCCTCTCCTCCTCCTCCTCTCCTCCTCCTCCTCCTCGATCCCTCTGAGTCCTCCCTGAGCCCCTGGGTCCCTCACCAGGAGAGCCGTGTGTCACCTTTACCAATTCCTCCAAATACCTCATAGTAATAAAGTCTAGGGTTATGTTGTATAGAGAGTCTATGTGATAAGGCAGAACTTACTAGTTTGATAATTGTTAAGGTTACTTTTAAGAAAAATTTTATAATTCTTATTTATTTTGTAGTTTGTATGTTTGGGATATTCCCTCCCCTCCACCTTTGGTTCGGGGTTTATTTTCTCGGCAGAACTGCTCTGTTGCTCAAGGAAGACTTAATTTCTGGAAATGTCCCCCAGGTGGGTTTAGGGTTATATAAAAATGCAAGAACGGAATAAGAGAAGATTTTTCATTTCAACAGTTACTTACAAAGGTTTTTGTGTTTTGTAAAAAATTTGTTTCCACAGGGTAAAAAAAATACATATATATATATATAAATATATATAATCTTTTTGTGAAACTGGTTCCTATTTTTCTCTATGATGTGCTGTGATTTTTTTTAATTTAATTACATTTTATATGAGCTTATTTAATCACTGCTTTAATTTATGACTGTGTAGTTCTAACAGTGTATATAGTAGAGGCAAAACGGCCAAAGCTTTACGCTGAGACCTTCTGGTTCTTAGTGCTAAGACCAGCTGCCGGCTGTGCTTCAGCTCTTTCTTAGCAGGCATCCAGGTCGCTGCAAACACTGCCAGTCCCCGCTGCCCCACGCCCAAGAGCACGCGTCGCTCAGAAAGGAGAAAGGCGATATTCATGTTTTCCTTTAAGTTACTAGTTTTTAGAAAAAAGACTTACTTGGCAGGTAAGACCTGAAATTCCAAAGAATTGAAGACATTTTTCCTGTTTCAAAGCACCCCATTTGTGAAGTACTTTGGTACTTCTTTTTCTTTTAGTCATTCGCACAGGTATGAGAAGTAAAGAGACAAGCTAACTTGAATTTGGAAATCTGCCTACTTTGCCCAGGTTCCTGAGCGGCTTCCAGGCAAGGCCTGGAGCCACAGTGCTCTGTGAAGCAACATGGGCCCTGTAGAGAGAGCTGGGGCTCCTCGCAGGCCAAGGAAGCAGCAAAGCAGAGTTGTTTGGCCCCGGTTTATCATTCTGACTTAAGAAAGAGGCTTCACAGTTCCAGATTCCTCTCCACGTTGTTTCTTGGAGTCTGCTACCCACAGTCGCACCCTCCCCAGCTCCTGCTCTGGAAGGGCCCCTCTCGGTGCCAGGCTGGGGAGGAGCCCCCCGTCTCCGCTCCCCGCCACCCCTTCCTGAGGAGAGGGCCCTACACAGGACCCTCCCTCGAACACAGAACCCTTGGAAAGCCGGCCTGCCGCTTGCTTTCCTTCGCTGAGCTAAGTTTCTCTAGCAGCACATCACCCACGATAATGTAAATACTTCCCTCCCACACAAGTTTTACCTTCATTTCTTTCACAGGTGTGTTTGGGTTGGGTAAGGAGAGGGAGGGCTTAGATTTCAGGTCAAAAGGGACATTTTCTTAGTGACATTTCGCTGTGTGTTAGCATGTTGGTGACATTGGTGAGTCCCTTGTGTCTCCTATGGATGCCCTGCGGGGATGTCACCGAGACCAGCAGCAGGCTTGGGGGTTCCATCCCCTCTGCCTTCGGCAGCCAGCGCAGAGCAGGGTCCTATCCACAAGGTCACTTTTTCTGCTTCTGTGTTCGTCTTGATTTCTTTGTGGTTTGTTCTGCATTTGTTACATAATCATTGTGGGCTCACTTTAGATTTGCTGCCTGAACCAAGTGACAAGTATTTTTTTAAAAAATAAACTTTAAAACATTGTCTTCTGCTGCTTTGGTAGTTGTCTTCATGTGTCTCTGTGTCTAGTGTCCAGTCTGAATCAGCCCCCGTCATCCCCTGGACTTGTCCCTTCTCCCCTTTCCCATTTTCGGCACACCTTTGACCATAGCTATTGTTTGAGTGTGACTCAGTTTCCCTGTTCAAGTTAGCTTGATGGTTTAGGATGTAAGGAGGGTGCCTAAGACAATCATCAGGTAATAATAATAAAATTTAAAAGATCAGTAGGATAGAAAAATCTTCCTCGAGCAAAGGGAGTTCTTCCTTAGCAATGAAAAAAAAACCATAAATAAATAATTAAAAACCTAACCACGAGGGGCTTAGAAGACTTTTGATAAAAAACAAATGTTGGGGCCGGGGATGTAGCTCAGTGGTTCCGCCGCCTGCCTTGAAAGCGCAAGGTCCCGAGTTCGATCCCTGGTACAAAAAAAAAAAAAAACAAATGTTGCTGTCGTTTTCTTTGTCAATTAGGAAACAGTGGTAGTTTCTATGTTGCATCTACATTTCAGACGAAATGATTATTGTACCCATTATGGTTGTTTGCTGATACGTCGTCTCTCCCTCTGTACTTTGGTGTGTAGTGGTGGGGCGCGTGCGTCCAGCGCCTCCAGCTTTGTTTCCGAGTAGCTCCTGTACTGCATTAAGGTTTCTTTCGGTTTCTTTTGAAGCTTCGCTACTGTCCTCGCTTTACACCGTGCAATATCATCTGCTGTGTTTGCTAAGCAAAAAAGAAAAAAAGAAAAAAAAAGCAAGTGATGACCCATCATGCTTTTCAATGTTAAAATGTTTCAGCATTTATGTAGTCACCAAAATGTAGTCAATAAAATGTTGGATTTTCCAGCACTTTAAATT